AGAGTGGCAAATACATATAGCGCGGTATAAATTGAAAAATTCAGTTAGTGAATCTTAAGTGGTTGAATCCGCCATTTTGAGTTTGATATTTTCAAACGAAATATTGTTGTCAGCGACCCCAAAAACTCTACATCCTTATGTAATAATATCTGTGAAGAATTACTTGATAATGGCAATATATTTACATCTTCTATCGAAAAAGACTCATTGAATGTTATCGCATTCCTCTATAGGAATTTAACAGCCGCCTCGGAGGGTCATGGAAAATTTTCTACCGCGATATGGGTAAAAGTCGAAGCCGGAAGTTTTGATGGAAAATTTTCAACAAACAGTGACTAAACACACGTCTCAAGTGCATTTTACACATTGTTCCTGAAACGGACAATAACTACTATTCATTTATTTACAAAAGTGGAATCCCTTTGTATCCCATATGTATGTATAGTTGAAAATTGCTATAAATCGTACTACTTATATTTTATTTTATATTCCCACGTATAATACACACGTTTCAACAAACACCACTATATTTATTAAGAGAAACAACGATGGTTTATGATTGTAGCGGTACGATTTAGGAATCATAATAACTTTTCGAAAAACATCGATGTAATTTTTATAATATAATAATTCCAATACATACATGAAATAAATGTAAAATATGTTAGAATAAACATATTTTTATAAAAATCTACATAATCTACATAAATATGATAAAAAATTATATCAATCGTACATGATTGTTTAAAATATTTACAAAACCCACGAAACAAAGTATCATCTGTCAATTTTTTGTCTATACTTTTCATTATTTATTATCAGTCATTTCATATATTATATTATATTACATTATTACTAGTTTTTAAATTTAAGCAATAACAAGTTAGGAAAAGCGATTTGGACAGATGATTTAAAAGAACTAATTGGTATAAGTAACATTCGTTCTGACATTTTGCGTTTAAAAAAGGAAGTAAATACGCAGTGATTTAAATGACAAATTGTCTTGGCATCCATTTTGGATTCCTGTTTCCTTTTTCTATTAAGGCTTTTCATCGTATTACGTAAGAAATTGTGGGTATAGTAAATAACCTACCGCGGGCCTGGTTTTCGGTCTTATTTTGTATTTTGAAGCTACTATTTAGAGAGTGGTGCCAAGATGCTCACTAAGAGGATCGAAAATAACTAACATAAGCCTTTTGCTAGCTTCTGGTCACTGACCGACAAGTTTTGCGACCTCCGATAAAAGAGGAAACAAAGGTATCGCCATAGCAAAATTCTTTCAAAAATAAACTTTACAGGCAACTTGTTTTTTTGTCATAAATCTTCATTATCCATATAACAGTGTGCTTTCCATACGACATCTGAAATATTTCTCTGATGTTCGTTTCCGTATAAGTTTCAGGAACACTTGAAACAGCTCCGCTGAAAAATTTAAAAAAATTCTATTTATATGTAAACAATTTATCTTAGAATGTAAGTAAGTACCTACGTAGTCTTCATGTGCGTAACGATGTCAAAAAATTCACTTGAATGCTTTTCTTTATAAAAATTCGTCGATAAGTTTAGAAAACTTTATTAGTAAATTTTCGAAATCGTTATACTAATTGACACGGTGCTAAATCGTTCCCAATATATTCAGTAAATTTATTTTAAAACGAAATCGTCGTTTTATCTAAACGTGTAAATTAAGATGAAGCGCTAAAAACGATTTCTTCATCAATTGCATGCAATGATTCTAAGAATAATTTTTTTTTTTTTCAAAGCTTACTATAGCTTGAATTATTTGAAAGGTTTGTGTTGCATATACGTATGTATGTATGTATGTATGTATGTATGTATGTATACAATAGTCGATTTCCCTTGATACACAAACAACTTCTATACAGGGTGAGGCACGAAGTAGTCCCCACAAGAAATTACAGTTACATACTTAAGTTTACAAACAAATTGATTTTCGATAAAAAATTAAGCAACTGTAATTTCTTAACGGTTAAATACTGATTAACATCGATAGGAAATATTTTTTTGTCAAATTATCAAAAGCGAGTGAAAAATCGTGGGGATTAGTTCGTGGCCCACCCACCCTGTATACATACATATGTATACATACTTATTAATTTAAAAATTACTTAAGTTTACAACAACGTGGTTATATCCGAATGGAAGTTATTCTTCGCGCGAAAGTAAGTTGAAAATGTGGAATGAGAATTTTTGATACAAGATTTCGTTCTCGAGTATGAAGTCCCGACAAATATGCGTGTTGTACTTGAGTTGAATGTTTCTTTGCACTTGGCTACTCTACTCATATTTACAAACATCATATAATTATGTAAACTGTAGTAATGCACTTCAATAATACACTTACTCGGATAAACTACAAATTGCTGAAAGTGTTGTCTATTTTGTCTGAAATAAAATGTTTACATACACAAAGAAAGCAACTAAGTGGAAAATGTACTACATTCAAGTCTGTTATCTTTTAAGTGCACGCGTATCGTCCTTCCACGATAAGAAGACACAGCGTGCTTACATCCCCACTCTTGCTGCAGTCCGCTGATTGGCTGTCACCGATCTTCGTCACCGTTTTCGACCCAGACCTATGAGTGGGTATGTAAACACGTGTGTGCCTTCTTTTCGTGGAAGAATGGTAGTTGGCGGACCAAGCACCCATTTAGGTATGTATTTGAGTATTTGGTTGTCCAGGTGGCAGGGGAGGTGAACCCCTACGTGGTGCGTCCCCAGGTGGCGGATAAGGGCAGCCGCTGGGATGAGCTCATCAACCTGAGAAGGCTGGTGTAGGCTGCATCGTTGCATGGGATCCCGGAGGTCGGAGCGAAAGCTCCCGCGGACCAAACACCGGTGTATGAATACACCGGTATGGGGCATGGGATATTTTACCTGCCACCTGCGGTTCAGTGGGAATGTAACGGAAGGTGTGCCTCCCACGCGGGTGGGGCCTGAAAAGGCACAGCGCGGCAGGGTACTCTGTAATGGCTGACTAGAGCTCCCGATCTCTCGCCAGGTGCCTGAGGATGGTCACCGTGGGGTTTTAGCCGGTAATAGTCCGGCACTACCCGCGGGCCCGCCCGAAGGATTTCCCCACGTACAAAACAAAAACAAAGCCTTGTATCAAAAATTGTCGTCCCACATTTCTGACACACTTTTGCACAATTCGAAATTTACAATTATATTTAAAGTATACATTTAATAGTTAAATTTATATTTGTACAATATAATTCCAAAAATCCGGACTCTCAAAATACGAACTTTTAAAATTATATGTATATGTATCATAAAAGAAAATGTTAGTTTCATCTCTGGATAAGAAACTAACTTCTACTAATGTTTTGATATGTTTAATTGTGCGATATTGCATTTCTGTTGGGCTTGCAATTTGTTAGTTTTTTATCCAGAAATCAAACTAACATTTTGTTTTATAATACATATGTATATACATATAATGTTCTCCGTATCATCTTCTCAATTGTTGTAACGGTTTCTTGGATTACTTAATAAATTTTGTTAAATTTCACAACAAATTTTTATGCAAAAAACCACCGTCATACAATACACCAAATTTTCTAATTACACAAATGAAATAGATTCTCTGTTCACGTGGTTTCGATTTAACACATACCTCAAATGATTCTATTTTTCTACATGAACGTTTTGCTTTGACACAGTTTAAAAAATCGCTTGTTTTAAAGGGTTTATCATACAGCAGACATATTGAATATTTTTACTTCTGGTGACGGCCGATAATTAAATCTGAAAGTTGTATTTATATAAAGGGTATAGCCGAATAAGGGGGTCAAATGTGCCCTTGAACCAAATTTAACATACGATGGATCCATCGATAGAGCATCAAAAAAAAACATTCTGTACCAAATTTGAACCCTCTATCATGTTCGGAAGGGTAGTTATTGGGAAAATTCGGATTAGCGAATTTGTGCCTATTTCCCCTATTTAATCGAGTATGAAAATTATGAAAAAAATCTGGTGCATTGCTACTATTGAGATACGTGTTTGAGAATTTTAAAACTAAGTACGTATATTCATTTAACGTAGAAAAAATGAAACAGTAGGGTATTTAAGCAAATATACGACTAGAGAAATGATGGAATAGAAACTGCTCCATAATTGTTTTTGCGTATATTTTAGGTAAAAATATTTTTTAAATATTAATAAACTAATAGTTTTTCATTGTCGTTTAGTTAGAAATTGAAATAATAAAAAAAAATGTACCATAGCAGGGCGCGAACGCGCGTCAAAAAGTTTGCAGAGCAGTCTCGCAGCCGAGCATCTTACTCACTGCACCATCGCAGCAGCTCTTGGAAATAATGCTGATACTTCTGAATACAACGCGCATAGCACGTTTTTTTTCTTGACTTATTTTTGCTTTTCTTCTTGTATACACTGTTTTACTCAACATGGAAATGTTTAGAACCACAGAATATAGTTATCTATTAAAGGGAATACAAAAATTCAAAGTATAAGTTGCTTTTTCACGCGAAAAACGCCGAAAAAATCGGTTTTTCATTTTTCCTACTACGGCGCACCCTGCCAAAAAATCTGAAAAAATTCAGGGACATAACCAATGACAATATGCATTTACAGTAATTATATAAATCTAGTGTCTCGAAAGCTTCAATACGAAATCGGTATTTTTCTGCGTTTTTTTGCGTTTTTAATTTTTCACACCTAGGATTTGAAATCGAAAAATCGGAAAAAAATTCTCAAACACGTATCTCGATAACCATAATGTACCAGATTTTTTTCATAATTTTTCTACTCGATTAAATAGGGGAAATAGGCACAAACTCGTTAATCCGAATTTTCTCAATAACTACCCTTCCAAACAAGATAGAGGGTTAAAATTTGGCACAGAACGTTTTTTCTTGATGCTCTATCGATGGATCCATCGTATGTCACATTTCGTTCAAGGGCACATTTGACCCCCTTATTCGGCTATACCCTTTACTTTTAATAGCGAAATAATTTACAAAAATTAAATAAACAATGCAAAGTAAAGAGCAGATGATATTGACAAATGCAAGAGAAAGGTAAAATACTTTCCTTATTATATAAACATATTAAGAGTACGACTTTTATTTGGCTTGAGATACTCCTGACAGATATCCTCTGATATGTAGATTATCTTCATATAACATGATGATATGAATATCTATGCAAACACTTATCTTTCATGAATATATGTGTTACAATGCAATAACAAGCGGATATTATTAAATGCAATAAAAAAAATGGCGGTGTATATATAAACGTGCAAAATAAACTATTTGAACAATTATTATAAAATGTGCTTATAATATATTAGACATGAAGCTATAATGCTTCCGCATCGCTATTACTGAGAGCAACAACTGTAAAGCACACTTCTTCGGGATCGCGAACCATATATTCTTTGCAAACACGTGCAGAATCTTCTAATAGTGTTTCAGGACTGGTGGGACCATGATTGATAGGTGCGGATTTACGTCCATCTAAGAATATAAATTAAATATTTTAATTACAATGTTCTTCTTTTTAATTGTACATTGCACGATCATTTGTTAGAACTAACGATGTAAAAATATATTTACCCAATTCGTATAAAACACCATTTTTGTGTATAAATGCTACAAAGTGATGGTAGACTGGCGTTTCCACACTTGGTACCTACGAAACATGTTTGGTAACATTTTTCTAATTAAACAGCAAAAACAAGAATCTCTAAATATTTACGTTAGTGTCTATGTCCGAAATTTGTCTATCTTTTGGGGGGGTTTTTTTTTTAAAAGAGGCTATAATTTAGCATTGAAAAGAAAATATGGCGGAGGATGAAAAAGTAATGCGCTTTTGCATTTTTTTGACAAACAAAACTTAAAATTTAAGGAAATTCTAGTATAACATATTCTAAAATCATCAAGATGGCTTCACACATACTGCAGTTTCTTTAAATTTTAAGCTTTCTTTTTATGAAAAAAATACAACGGCGCATTACTTTTTCACCCTCCACTGATCTACATATATTTCTTTTCAATGCTGATATATATTGGGGAAAACAAATTTAGGACAAAGCTACTAAAATAAATATTTACCCAAGAATCATACCATCGTCTGTCCCTCTAATGCCAATCCTTTATGAGTCTCGTTGATTTCAGACGAGGTTACCAAAAGTCCGCCAGATTCCTCGAAATTAAGATTTTTTGATTTGTCTAAGAAAGTTTTCAGAAAACCATCCTGAAGATTTATACTACAGAAACATAGAAATGTAACCTACAATAATGTATTTAAAATAAATTAATTAAACTTTGCATAAAAAGCTTACCTATCTAGATTATTTGCAACACTGTGGATTAATGCGATTGTACCGCAAGAATTATGAATATACTGTTTCATGTGGTAAACATCCGGATCTGTCGGACCTAACGCACTTTTATCATTTTCTTTAACATCTTCGTTGTCTTCAAGTTTGTTATCCTTTTATAAGTGTAAAATAATATTATTTGTAATATATGGTAATTTCAACAAACAAATATAATAATATAATATTAATTTTGAAACCTCTTTACGCAAAGGATAAAGCAATATAACAGCAATAACTGGTTTAGGTACAAGTGCTAACAAATCAGGTTCCAACCCGTAGACATCAATGATGCACCATTCTTTTGGCACCCCGATTCTGTGCAAGAACTGTAAAATTAAACGTTTTATTACTTGCTTTAGAAAAGCTATTAATAATTTTACTTTGTAAAAGTATAAAGTATACTCTACTCATGTAAATAAGTTAATATTCATGACATATAAGAAAAGACATTCCACAATCAAATGACAAAATCAACAGTTGAAAGTCACGATGATTTACCTTCGTCATAACCTAAAACAAAGAATAAAAACTATTGAGCGATGAACAAAACATCTGTGCTTTCAATTTGAAAATATAAATTCTTACCTCTGGATTTGATTCCAATGGTATCCAAGTAGACATGATGAAATTTCGTGTTTGTCGGGAATGTCGGCAAATTTAGCGGTTTACTTACTAACCTATAATTTGTTTTAAATACTTTTCAACAAGAATTTTTCTAAAAATGATTATCAATGATAAATTCTAATGGACCACCACAATACATTTATCGTATTAAAAGGTTCTTATGTTTAAAATTTAATTGTTATTCGTGTTTGAATTACACCCGAAAAATTTACCGAAATCCGAGTCCTTCGCACCACGTTGATACCGACAGAACGCTATTGGCTACTACATATTTGCTACTGTCAGACTGTCAGAATGGATAATAAATATAAGTACGAAAGAAATTTCGAATTTTCCACTTTCTTAACAGACTTAAACAGCTAAAATTATTGTCATTTCCCCCTATACCACGCAACTTTTGTAAAAACAACTGCATTATACATAATAGGCAATATTTCAGATATACCAAATTATTAGCTTAAAATAAAATATTAAATCCGTGTAAGCATTTTATAATATTAATACAGTTTACTGCAACAACAGTCCTACTCGCCAGTAACGGTCAACGATATATCGCATAATTAATTTTCTTTCAATACTCTTAAATCAAAATTTCTTTACAGGTGTTTCCATTATTTAGAACCCTTCCAGCTGCTTGACGCTCCGTTTATACAAAATTGTTGATTAGAAAAAGGAAGTCGATTTCGAGAAATTTATTGTACATATATTTAAATTATTGTAAATAGTTTCATAAAAGTGATATTGCATACATATGTATATGTAGAAACAGAGTAATTGGGCAAGTAAAACGCGTTGAAATAATATTAAACTGCTAGGGTTACTATACATACATATAATGCTCGCCACCAGAGGGGTCGCGCTCTCACAAGAGCTCGATCGACCCCACGGTTAGTTGTACCTACTTAGTACATATATGTATATGTATACACTCGTCGAACCACTTTCTATCCGGGCGTCGCGGTTAGGTCTGGGTTATAATTTTTACTAGATTATTAATTGTAGTTTATAAATTATTCTCTTGTAAATACGCTGTATACACCTTATAGAAATATAGGCGCGATTATAGGTACATATGAAGAAAAAAGTGGAATAATCTTTTGGATGTGCATGTTAAGACAACCATTGCAAGAGAATGAAATCGTCGCATGGAAATTTTGTCACGTTTTACACAAAGTACTGCGAGAGGGTCATCGAAAAGTAATTCCAGACTCTCAACGGTATCGTGGAAGGCTAGAGGATATTGGAAAATTATGGCAACATCTTCGAGAGGGTTATGGTCAGTAGTCGATTCAGTCAGGGGAATCCTTCGTCGCACTGGCGCTGCGTGGCGCTGCGTGGCGTCTCCCGTCCGTCCCCGTTGTAAAGGGTCAGAACAGACCCGCCGAACAGGGTCAAAAGAGACCCGTTGTAAAGGGTCAGAACAGACCCGTAGAATAGAATAGACCCGCAGAACAGGGTCAAAACAGACCCGTAGAATAGAATAGACCAGCAGAACAGGGTCAAAAGAGACCCGTAGAAAGGAGTCAGAACAGACCCGTAGAATAGAATAGACCCGCCGAACAGGGTCAAAAGAGACCCGTTGTAAAGGGTCAGAACAGACCCGTAGAATAGAACAGACCCGCCGAACAGGGTCAAAAGAGACCCGTTGTAAAGGGTCAGAACAGACCCGTAGAATAGAATAGACCCGCAGAACAGGGTCAAAACAGACCCGTAGAATAGAATAGACCCGCAGAACAGGGTCAAAACAGACCCGTAGAATAGAATAGACCCGCAGAACAGGGTCAAAAGAGACCCGTTGTAAAGGGTCAACACAGACCCGTAGAATAGAACAGACCCGCAGAACAGGGTCAAAAGAGACCCGTTGTAAAGGGTCAGAACAGACCCGTAGAATAGAACAGACCCGCAGAACAGGGTCAAAAGAGACCCGTTGTAAAGGGTCAGAACAGACCCGTAGAATAGAATAGACCCGCCGAACAGGGTCAAAAGAGACCCGTAGAAAAGGGTCAAAACAGACCCGTAGAATAGAATAGACCCGCAGAACAGGGTCAAAACAGACCCGTAGAATAGAATAGACCAGCAGAACAGGGTCAAAAGAGACCCGTTGTAAAGGGTCAGAACAGACCCGTAGAATAGAATAGACCCGCAGAACAGGGTCAAAAGAGACCCGTATAAAAGGGTCAAAACAGACCCGTAGAATAGAATAGACCCGCAGAACAGGGTCAAAACAGACCCTTAGAACAGGGTCAAAACAGACCCGTAGAATAGAATAGACCCGCAGAACAGGGTCAAAAGAGACCCGTTGTAAAGGGTCAGAACAGACCCGTAGAATAGAATAGACCCGCAGAACAGGGTCAAAAGAGACCCGTAGAAAGGAGTCAGAACAGACCCGTAGAATAGAATAGACCCGCCGAACAGGGTCAAAAGAGACCCGTTGTAAAGGGTCAACACAGACCCGTAGAATAGAACAGACCCGCAGAACAGGGTCAAAAGAGACCCGTTGTAAAGGGTCAGAACAGACCCGTAGAATAGAATAGACCCGCAGAACAGGGTCAAAACAGACCCGTAGAATAGAATAGACCAGCAGAACAGGGTCAAAAGAGACCCGTAGAAAGGAGTCAGAACAGACCCGTAGAATAGAATAGACCCGCCGAACAGGGTCAAAAGAGACCCGTTGTAAAGGGTCAGAACAGACCCGTAGAATAGAATAGACCCGCAGAACAGGGTCAAAACAGACCCGTAGAATAGAATAGACCCGCAGAACAGGGTCAAAACAGACCCGTAGAATAGAATAGACCCGCAGAACAGGGTCAAAAGAGACCCGTTGTAAAGGGTCAACACAGACCCGTAGAATAGAACAGACCCGCAGAACAGGGTCAAAAGAGACCCGTTGTAAAGGGTCAGAACAGACCCGTAGAATAGAACAGACCCGCAGAACAGGGTCAAAAGAGACCCGTTGTAAAGGGTCAGAACAGACCCGTAGAATAGAATAGACCCGCCGAACAGGGTCAAAAGAGACCCGTAGAAAAGGGTCAAAACAGACCCGTAGAATAGAATAGACCCGCAGAACAGGGTCAAAACAGACCCGTAGAATAGAATAGACCAGCAGAACAGGGTCAAAAGAGACCCGTTGTAAAGGGTCAGAACAGACCCGTAGAATAGAATAGACCCGCAGAACAGGGTCAAAAGAGACCCGTATAAAAGGGTCAAAACAGACCCGTAGAATAGAATAGACCCGCAGAACAGGGTCAAAACAGACCCTTAGAACAGGGTCAAAACAGACCCGTAGAATAGAATAGACCCGCAGAACAGGGTCAAAAGAGACCCGTTGTAAAGGGTCAGAACAGACCCGTAGAATAGAATAGACCCGCAGAACAGGGTCAAAAGAGACCCGTAGAAAGGAGTCAGAACAGACCCGTAGAATAGAATAGACCCGCCGAACAGGGTCAAAAGAGACCCGTTGTAAAGGGTCAACACAGACCCGTAGAATAGAACAGACCCGCAGAACAGGGTCAAAAGAGACCCGTTGTAAAGGGTCAGAACAGACCCGTAGAATAGAATAGACCCGCAGAACAGGGTCAAAACAGACCCGTAGAATAGAATAGACCAGCAGAACAGGGTCAAAAGAGACCCGTAGAAAGGAGTCAGAACAGACCCGTAGAATAGAATAGACCCGCCGAATAGGGTCAAAAGAGACCCGTTGTAAAGGGTCAGAACAGACCCGTAGAATAGAATAGACCCTTAGAACAGGGTCAAAACAGACCCGTAGAATAGAATAGACCCGCCGAACAGGGTCAAAAGAGACCCGTAGAATAGAATAGACCCGCAGAACAGGGTCAAAAGAGACCCGTTGTAAAGGGTCAACACAGACCCGTAGAATAGAACAGACCCGCAGAACAGGGTCAAAAGAGACCCGTTGTAAAGGGTCAGAACAGACCCGTAGAATAGAACAGACCCGCAGAACAGGGTCAAAAGAGACCCGTTGTAAAGGGTCAGAACAGACCCGTAGAATAGAATAGACCCGCAGAACAGGGTCAAAAGAGACCCGTATAAAAGGGTCAAAACAGACCCGTAGAATAGAATAGACCCGCAGAACAGGGTCAAAACAGACCCTTAGAACAGGGTCAAAACAGACCCGTAGAATAGAATAGACCCGCAGAACAGGGTCAAAAGAGACCCGTTGTAAAGGGTCAGAACAGACCCGTAGAATAGAATAGACCCGCAGAACAGGGTCAAAAGAGACCCGTAGAAAGGAGTCAGAACAGACCCGTAGAATAGAATAGACCCGCCGAACAGGGTCAAAAGAGACCCGTTGTAAAGGGTCAGAACAGACCCGTAGAATAGAACAGACCCGCCGAACAGGGTCAAAAGAGACCCGTTGTAAAGGGTCAGAACAGACCCGTAGAATAGAACAGACCCGCCGAACAGGGTCAAAAGAGACCCGTTGTAAAGGGTCAGAACAGACCCGTAAAATAGAATAGACCCGCAGAACAGGGTCAAAAGAGACCCGTATAAAAGGGTCAAAACAGACCCGTAGAATAGAATAGACCCGCAGAACAGGGTCAAAAGAGACCCGTAGAAAAGGGTCAACCCAGACCCGTAGAATAGAATAGACCCGCAGAACAGGGTCAAAACAGACCCCTAGAACAGGGTCGAAATAGACCCATAGAATAGGGTCAAAATAGACCCGAGACTAACTAACTACTTCCTGATTTCTTATCTAAAATAGTCACTTTTGGATATCAGGTAATATCAGATTTTGTAAATCAGGTAATGAAGTAACATAATTAAATCGAAATTAAGGGATAAAATAATAGTAAAACAGTAAAATCACACAACAGGATGTAACAGGGAAAAGATAGTAGTAGTAGTAGTAATAGTATCTGCAATCGGCCGTATATAAATGTAACAAATAGACTACGATACAATACAAGTCACAGTTATTTTAGTTATTTTCTCTCATTATGATTCAGGCCAGGATTCTTTACCGTTATACAGTTTACTGATATGGAAACGCTTTCGTCTTTCTCACTAATAAAATATTATATAATATAATAATAGCATATACTCTACACTCCATATTTTTACAGTTATACCCTACAGCTTAGGGGTTTTTCTACATTTACATGTACTTGTCACTAAAGATATGGGCTATGACACCAAAGATACGGGATAAGCTAAAACATTACTCTACAGTCTAGTCTAGTTTAGTTTATCTTATTTTATTTTATTTTATATTTCTTCTAGTCTTTCTTATTTTCA